AAGATCAAATAAGTTTTTATTTTACCATAATTCCTTTTAATTTAATAATTAAGTTCGCGTAAACAATAAAAAACGCACAGATTCAAACAAAATTTCTATAAATATACGTTAGAATTAAACTATAACGCTTAGCTTCTAAAAAGAGTGGGGCAGTCTTTTTATATTTAAGGCAAATTTATAATTTATCCTAAACATTTTCCAATATCAACTGTTGTTAAAACACCATTGTGACAGTCAATCCTTTGAAATATAAAAGTCAATTTAGCTCAACTTCAATATGAAAATGTGAGCATAATGTCAATAAATTAAAGTGTAATTATCTTATTATTATGAAGACATGTTAGCGAGAGTACATCACACTTCATTTTAAGGCCTTTAATTTCATTTTAGAAACAGATAACGAGATATCATGTCTTTTATAACTATTTCATGTTTTGTCGTTGAATACATACAAATCGTCTAGGCATGATAATTAACATATTCATGCATTTTACATGTGTAATATAATCAGTAATTCTCTTTGAAAAGAAACAACGCAAAATAATGTTGCCGATAAGTTAACACATTTTCGGCTAAAATAATTTTGTGTACATTATCTAATCAATATAATACAATATAAATGATTTAATAACTGCACAAAACGTATAAGGGAAGATAAATCTGTATCGATCATTTTCCAGTAAGTGACAGTTATCGCATTATAAGAGATATTTTATATACAAGTATTTATATTTTTACATCAACTTCAGAATTAATTCAGGAAGCTACATATAAAGTTACGAGACGTTTTTGAATCTACAAATTTCTGTTTTCAACATACGGAATTCACGATTTCAACTTCATGAATTCACGATTTCAACTTCACTAATTCAACTTTGCAAATTCACGATTCGAACTTCATGATTTCAGCGTCGTGAAGTCACGATTTCAACTTCACGAATTCGGGAATTTTGTATGTTGAAATCGTAAATCCACGAAGTTGGCATTGTGAATTCGTGAAGATTATCCCGATAATTCAAGAAGGTTGAACTGTTTTCGTACATAATATACCGTATTTTATTACGTAATGTTCCGTTTATAATAAATAAAATAAATCAGAGAAACATATCTGCAAAGACCTTCCAATGAAAATAACATACATGTATAATTTTGAGTGTCAAGGACATGCTAATCCGTTTCTATGACTGGAGCATGTGTCACCGTCACGCATAAAATTAAAGAAATGCAACAGATTTTTATTTCATTATAACACGGATCGTCGTTGCCATTGGTTACCATATTTTCACTTGATGGTGATTGACGAAATTAACTGATTGAAATGAAATAAAAAACAATACATGTCTATGGAATTTCTAGCTGAACAAGGAAATGCATTTGAACAGGATTCATGGAAATAGTTTACGTGACCCTCCCGTGGTATTGTATAGTAATGGAAAAGGTTTTAATTGATTAACGGCATATAATGCATTACTGCACATTATCATAAAAACACACTTATAATAAGTGATACTTCGTCTGAATAGACAAACTACAGGTCACATCTGGGTGCCCTCAAAATATTACATATGATAAATATGTTTCTTCTTTACTTATGTCACAAGTCAATTAAAAAAACTTCATTCAGGATAACATTAAACACGTATCATGCAATCACCTGATCAAACACTATTGAATTTATAATTGAGCCGTGTCACGACAAAACCAACATAATGGGTTTGCGACCAGCATGGATCCAGACCAGCCTGCGCATCCGCGCAGTCTGATCAGGATCCATGCTGTTCGCTATCAGTTTCTCTACTTGTCATAGAGTGGATAAGCGAACAGCATAGATCCTGATCAGACTGCACGGATGCTGGTCGCAAACGTACTATGCTGGTTTTGTCGTAACGCGGCTCATATTATTTCTATTGAACTAATCAAATCTGTTGATGTCTTTGGCATACATGCTTAAGCAACAACAACAAGTTACAACAACATCAACAAAGAACACAACAATAATGTACAGTTTATAGATATGTGGCTCATTTAGAATGTACTGGATACGCACATTGACCTCATCGCTCCTGACACACGATCTCCAATCTCAAATGAATATCAATCTTACTTTTTTTGGAATTGCATAGTTTTCTTTTGAACACAAGTTTTTACCTTTCTATATGGCAAATCTCGCCATGAATAAGAAAATACATTAGAAAGCGCAAAAGAGCATACGATTAATCTAAAAAGTCAAACAATACACATCATTGGGTTTTTATAAACAGTTAAGAAACAAAACAACATAACTTATTAGAAATGCAGGCACCATTCACACAAGCAAACTTGTTGAAAGGTAAAAATCAAACAACCTGACAGCATCAGATTATTGGAAAACATGAAACAATTCATCAAACCAAATACACAAAATAGCAACATACCAACTATCACTGACAACGACAAAATATACACAACAAACATAGACAAAGCCAATGCCTTTAATAACTTTTTTTCAATCACAAACTGAACTTGCTGATAACAACAAACAACTTCCAGAAATTAAGCAAACTGTTCATAATCACTTAGAAAACATAAATATAACACCACTAGAAGTCTCACCAATACTTAAATCACAAAGCGTAGAAAAGCGGTAGGTCCAGATCTCATAAACAATAAAATTCTAAAAGTATTCTCACAAGAACTTGCTGAACCACTTTGCTGCCTATTTAATCATTCTTTACAGTCTGGTAAAGTCCCTTCACAGTGGAAATTAGCCCATGTATGTGCTGTGCATAAAAAAGGAGATCCTCAAAATATTTCTAATTATAGACTAATCTCACTTCTTATCACCCTGAATAAAGTAATGGAAAAAACAGGTATCTGGTAAACTTCTTGAATGGTTCAAAGACTATTTATCTGATCGACAACAACGAGTCTACTTCAGACTAACTTAATATCAACGCTGGTGTTCCTCAAGGCTCAATATTGTTTATTGTCTATATCAATGACATTGTCTTGGACATACAATCAATCATTAGACTGTTTGCTGATGACACATCTCTCTATCTTATCGTTGAAACCCCTATCACCGCTGCTGAAATCATGACCTCAGACATTAACAAAATAAGTAATTGGACACATACTTGGCTTGTCAAGTTCAATCCGAGCAAAACAGAATCAATTCTTATAACTAAAAAACATCGATGACATAATCATCCACCACTTTTTATGAATGATATTCAAATCTTTTAAGTAGAATCCCATAAACATCTTGGAGTTACGTTATCCAAAAACGGGTCCTGGTGTGAACACATTTCTAATATTACACAAAGTACTCCGCGTATAAGTGTTGTTGTTTTTGTTTGTTTGACATTTACCTCAATATGACATGTGTTATTCATGTTTGACCTTGACCCCAAACTGATATTGACAATGATGGGTAAGGCTTCATATTTAACTTAATTTATCACAACTTAGTTATAAATTATAATGGGCAGATTTGATTCATACTGGGACGAAACAGCATTTATGAGAAGACCAACATGTAGAATAATTGAAATATGATCTTGATTTGCAAATGTCCTTGACCGTCAATGACAAATATGAAACTTTCGCTATTTTTGTACAAGAAATTGATGTTTACTTAGGACATTGTTTCATACAATACACTAACTCCGATATTTATTATTTAGAAATAAAAGAACATAAATTAAAAGGTCGATTATTGTCTTTTGAAAGTAACAACTTGTTGATATTAACACCAGTCTTTGCTTGACATTAGTTTAAATATAAAGTAAAATATAGGTAAATATACACAAGTGTAGTCAGCATCATGTAACAGATGCACTGATATACGATATGTTTTACTATTTGTTTGGGTCGTCAGACCAAACGAATAATGGTAGCAAAATTTCAGACCCTGATGTTCTTATTTGCAAATACCGAAAGTAGTCCAAAGTAGTACTTCCCTGTATATGTACATTAACGCCGAAAAATTGAAGGGAAGATTGTCAAATGACAGGCGCATTTATTTTCATAAAGAAAAAATAGTTCCCGATAGGTCGAAGATGTCTAATATTGTGTTATTCTTAAAGATATACATGTACTTATATTAAGCTCCATAATTATTTATATCAGTGTTAAACAACAGGTTTACCGTGAACAAAATATATCGAAATTAATAAGGGTTACAAACCCTAATTTAGAATGATATAGTTTTCTTTAGGCTGTTATCATATAACTTCACCGCGGTCGAGGGGTTTACACGCTCGCTTTGGAAGCGAGAGGTCTGAAGTTCAAATCCCATTTAAGGCAACTTGTCTATTTTTTTTAATTGTTGAAGCCAAATAAACATTGAATTGAATATCAGTGTTGCAATTAGTCTTATAGTCAATTTACTACAGTTATAACAGCGGAAACAGCATTGGTGACACTATACAAACAAATTGGTGTATAATCTCACAACCTTCACCTTTCTGAGACCAAAACCAATTTAGCGACTTCTGTGCTTTGATTGTTTACTCGATCAGTATCGATTGTTATCTCGGTGGAGGGCACTGCTCAAATAGTGTTATTCATGTTTATATTCTTTTGATGATAAATGCCACTGGAATTTTACGATATTGAGTTATGTTTGTTGAGCTATAGGAAACGTCACTTTGTCGATAGTCAGCATATTTTGGGTTGTCATTTATTTCAGTACAGACAATATTCAATCTATATATTATGGTGTTCGCGTTGTATCATAATCATACCTGAAAATTATCTATTAATTGTTATACGTGCTTATTGTATGAATTATTGTTTATTATTACTGAAATAGACCAAGTCGTAGCAACTGCAATCATAACGTTGTATTATTTCGTTTTATTCTGTCTAATTAATCTAAATCTAATTAATCTAATAAGTCTAATAAATCAATGACTTTTGTTAAAGCAAGGCGAGGGTTTGAGTTCCCGATACCTAGATTTGTAACGAACGACATCACTGCTGTGCTTATTGTAATATTTCTAATTCTTTTCTTTTAGTCAATGAAGCAGGTGTGGCTGCAAGACGAGATATGATTGGTTTCTGTCATCACGTGTCTCTTCGATTCAGAATACTTTGTCTTTTGTTTACCGTAGTGTCTTTCTACAGTATCACGTGGCTGTTTAATTTCCGGGTGGTATCTTACCACAGTATCTCGAGAACAACTGTTGATTCCGTTGACGAAACATTAAGGTTAGCAATGAACCATACATCAAAAAATACAAACAGAAGCACATCTGAAAGTTTTTCATCAATCGCTACCAAAGGCAAAGAGAACGCCTCTCTTCCTGCAGTCGTATCTGTAAAAAGAAAAGCGAAAGAAAATAAAAGAACAAAGTATTTAGGTGACCTATTTGAAAAGGAATTGAGAAATAATTTAAATAAGGATGATATTGTGAACAAGTCTACAAGTGTTCTTTCGTTTACTACTAAAACAAATAAGGAGCAAAGGGTATATGGACCTAAGAAAATGAACATCAACTTCAAAGAATTAAATATAACTAGACAATATAGACTTATAACAAATAAACCCAATGTGCAAGTTGCTAAGCAAGATGTAATGCTAAAACCGGATACAGTATCAGCTGTATCAAAAAACCAGTCTAACTTAATACAGCTTTCACTAGAGTATAAACCAAATATAGAGACCGGTTCTCCTGAGTTGCTTCATGTAATATCACCACACCAAAAGAAGAATGTACAAGCCAGTGCCATGCATTTTGATCCCCAAGCCGAGCGATTAAATAGTTCTTTTGTAGATAAAAGTAAAAACTTTATAATTCACCATCCATTGTTATTGAAGGAAAGCAATAATAAATTTGTATTAAATGGTACAAAGGGGGAAACGATAGACACAGAAAGTCGTGGTTTTAATGATACCACAAGAGTTCACTTAGGTACAGCAGATGATAACAATTCTTCAATGATAAGTGATTCTGATCAACCGTTTGAACAGAAGACGTTCGTATCATGCCAATACCCTCTTAATGCATCCAACAAAACTAAGGTAGGAATTCTAATTCCCTCCTCGACAAGGAAGATTGTATCCCCTTTGTTACAAAATTTGACGCTTGTAAAACTAAGTATACCGTCTATCTATAAAACATTGGAAGAAAAATACGTATATAGAATATACATTGGCATTGATGAGGGTGATTTTCTGCAAACAGTTGAAACCGAGCTGAGGAAAATGTATGATTGTGTTATACCAGTAATTGTTAAAGGAAAGAATTACGTCAAATCTGTGAACACCATAGCTGATCGTGCCTACATCGACGGAATGGATTATTTAGTCCGTACCAATGACGATACGGTATTTGTTACTGGAAACTGGACAACCATTGGTATAAACAAACTGAGAGAATACCATCCAGAAAATGTGGGCGTTGTTGGACCAACTTGTAACGAAGGGAATACGAATATTCTAACTCACGATATGGTACATCGACAGCATCTAGAAATATTTGACTTTTATTATCCCCCTTACCTAGAAAATTGGTGGACTGATGACTGGATAACACGTGTTTATCAACCCAACAAGTCCACAAAATTGACTTCATGGATAGTTAAACATATAATATTAAATACAAGATACAATGTTGATTTCGAAAGACAAAAATGGTCGGAAACATTAATCAAATATGATAGGAATAGGTTACAGAAGTATATAGGATGCAATTGTGAAAGTAGCGCGGGAAATCCATTAATATATACATCTTTGGTTTTAATCATTTTGCAGTGCTTAGTATGTCTGGCATCAAAGCTGAATTAAATGATGAGGGTTGATAATTTTAATCAGTGCCAAAAACTACGTCAAGACAAAATGATTGAACAAATGGTTATATCATTGACGAATGTTCCCTTGTGTATCTGTAAAGTTCAGTAAGTCATTTGATATGCCAGTATATTTGATATATAAAATGTTGTTAAGGCAATAATTCATTTATTCTATCTCATTCGTCCGTTATCTCAATTAGCAATATATATTTTACTTTTGTTAATTGTATTATTCATTTTTGACGTTTTTATATAAAACTATACTACTTAACATGAAGTTGAATCAAACTGAGTTTTTTCATTGATTAATGTGTGTCAACAACATTCGAAAAAATAAAAGTCAACATTATCTATATCAATTTTTGTAAGACAGTACTTATACCACCATTATGATTTAGAATTGTATAAATTATAAGAAGTTCATGTTGTTTAAATGTGTCAAAGGGTAACAGTATTATTTTTGTCTATACATTGTATTTGTCTATTCGATTGTCTCATGTCTAAATAATTATCACACATATATCATCCACTCAAAATATTTTTAAATGTCCTTATATTGCATTGTGACGATTGTTCTCTTTTGCCTAGATTCATTTATGATGTTTAGTGTTTTATACCTAAATTGCCGATAAGTTAAATTGTAATCAAATATGTTTGTTTGTTTGTTTTGGGTTTTACGTCACATCGACACAGTATAGGTCATATCGCGACGTTCCAGCTTTACTGGTGGAGGAAGACCTCAGGTGCCCTTTCGTGCATTATGTCAGGCACGAACGGGCACCTGAGTAGAACCACCGACGTTCCGTTATCTAGCTGGATAGCTTCCTCACATGAAAGAATCCAAAGTCCCTGTCGGGATTCGAACCCACAGCGGTGAGGGGCAAGTGATTTGAAGTCAACGACCTTAACCACTCGGCCACGGAAAACAAATATGTAATCTTGTGTTTAAATGTATAGTTTAATCTTTCATATAAGTAAAACATACATAAATAATACCTGATTAGATTTAACAATTTATTCATAACCATTATTTGATATAACGGGCATATTTTTATCATTTCTAAAATATCAGAACAATTCGTCCGTTAAAACATTCGAACTCAATGCCATTCGTACCAATATTCGACCCATTATCAATATCTCTTTGATGCTTGATTTCTTCAACTTCAGTAAACGATCATTAAGTTTAACTACATTATTGAGTATGAAGAGAGCTCAAAGCTGTGGACAGTCAGTCTCTGTCCAGCTGCCGAAGTATCAACACCACAGAAATAATTACTTAATATTTTAGATTAATTTCTTGGATTCTTGCACCATTTACGAAGTATATCAATTGAATCAATTTAACATTGCGTTAGGTGTAATTGTTATTACTAAAGTATTGAAAACTCGATATCCAAGTGGTTTTTTCTATATAAATCAAATAGCCTAAAAAGTGTCACCCCAATTTTATATCAAGTTCGAGGAAAACTTATTATCTTTCAATCACATTACTGTTATAACATTAGTAAATTAAACTTGATTCCAAAGTTTGAACAAATCATTGTATAATCATTTGTAACCAATCAACTGGCAAAGTAGCCATAAGAAAAATTATATACATAACAGCTAGCCCGTGCACGTTACAGTATTTGTCTCTTCGATTGTCTCATGTCTTAATAATTATCACATATATATCGTCCCCTCAAAATATTTTCAAATATCCTTATAAATGTGCCATATAAGGAACATGTATGTATTGCATTCAAATATCAGGTCACCACATCTTCGTGCCATTACATTTAACATCACGAGTACAGATCCCTTGTACTTGACGTCATCCCATTCAGAGATGATCAGGTCTGAAGGTCACTAAGCCTACAGGCTATTACATTTAGAGATCATCAGGTCTGAATGTAACTAGGCCGAACCGTCATTACATATATAGAGATCATCCGGTTTGAAGGTACGAGGTTGACACGTCATTACACCTATATAGTTCTCAGGTCTGAAGATTGCTAGGCCGACACATCATTACATGGTCTAAAGTTAATTAGGTTGACATGTCATTACATTTAGCAGGGATGGATACAGAACATGGTTTCCTGGGGGGGGGGGGGGGGGCAGGGCAGACATATGCGTGGAAGTTTTTGGCAAAAATATATATCCGCTTATATATATGTGTATACTAATGTTTCCGTAAATATTTAGATGATATGGAATTAAGAAAAGTATACTTCATTGGGGTGGGTATTGGAGGGGTGTCCCCTCCCCTAGACTGAGAAAATTTTGATATATGAGGTTGAAAATGGTGTTATTTCCTTGACTTTCTAGTGCTGTTTATGGTACCTTTTGGATGGTTTTACAGGTTAGTGTTTGCAGGGTATTTCAAATAGAATTCCCTTGATGTTTAGTATTAAGCATTTACAAAATAACAGCATACTTATCAATGTATTCCCGACTGTTGATAAGAATAATTTCAAACACTTGATCAATTTACTCATCTGAATAATAGACGATTTTCCAAAGTAAAGTGATATTAAAATATTGCCTTTTTGTCCAAAAAATAATTTCAAACACTAACATTCAATTATAAATGTTTCCATCATTGAATCCACTTTGGATACTAAAGAGGTCGGTACACTTTAAATTTTATTTTAAAAAATATAACTGACAAAATGTTATTGAAAGTAAATGACCAATCATTTCGTCTTAATAAAAAAATCTTGGTAAAACTAGTTATTAAAACGCGATTCATTTAATATAATCTTTATAAAACTCGCCATCTTTTTAATTTACAAATAATAATTTTCAATTTCTATTTGCCACTATCTGTGACTATTAATTTCATTAGACCTTTGGAAAGTAATAAACCAATCAATTATGCAGTTTAAACACTGAAGTCATTCAAGCATGTCGATAGATAAAGATCTCTGCCAAGCCCCCCAGGCAGGAGATTAACAAATGGATGAAAGTAATTAATGTTTTGATAAGGGAGTACACTACAGCCAAGTTTGAAACTGACAAAAATATATTCCAGCCCAGTTGGTAAACATATCTTTGGGCCGAGATGGGGGGCTGCAGCCCTGAAGCCCGGGCCTGAATCCGCAACTGTTTAGGGATTATCAGGTCTGAAATTGCTAATCATACATGTCATTATATTAACCCTTTACCCCATATATACGCGAAACAATGCATTTTCGACCCCCCCTCTTTTAGGCCTCAAATAGTGAAAAAATGTCCTATTTTGGCCCAAAACACATGTTTTCGTTTGAGAAATGTTGCTAAAAAAGTGAGCAACTTTTCGGCGCCGTCCCCCATGCAAAAGATACATTAGTGGGTTGCCAGAAGGGGGATGTGCCCTCTTCTGTTTGGGGGTTTGAAGAGAGGCGGTAGTCTCCCTCATCGCCAAGACTTGTGAGAGGCTAAAAATGACCCCAGGTCGATCATAAGGTAACGTGTAACCAACGCTGAAAAGCCTTTGACTCTATCTCAATCCGTTGAAAAGTTGCAGCACTTTGAAATAAATTTTGATGGAAAAAAACAAGGCAAAATAGTGATTTTTGGCAAATTTGAGACGGCCCCTCGTTGCCATGGTAACAGGAAATTTAAGACTGAGCATAACGTTACAAAGGCAATGGTCCAGTCAACATTTGTGCCAAGTTTGATTAGTATTGAAGCATTTTTTCATAGTTTCATAGCAGTTTGAACTTGTAAAAGGAGGCTTTTCAATGAAAACGGCCATTTTAGCTCGACTTTTTTTTTTTGAAAAAAAAAGTAGAGGTATTGTTATAGTCAGGTCGGCGTTGCCGTTGCCGTTGCCGTCCGCAAACTTGTACCTGGATCATAACTTTTTTATTTCTTGGTGTATTGTCTTCATACTTGGCCACAACAACCCTTTGGACAAGACCTTTCAATTAGACCACACTAACCTTGACCTTCATCCATAAATGACCTTGACCTTCAAGGTTAAAAGTCCAATTTTTGCTTGTTCATGCTGATATTGGCTGTAACTTTGTTATTTTTGAAAGGATTGTCTTCAAACTTGAACATAATAATCTTCAAGGATATCCCTTAAAAATAACCAGCCAGACCTTGACCTTCACTCATAAATGACCTTGACTTTGAAGGTCAAATTATTGAGATTTTCATTTTTTTGGCTATTATTGGCTGTAACTTTGTTATTTTTGAATTAATTGTCTTGAAACTTGAACATAATTATCTTCAGGGATATCCCTTAAAAATAACTAGACAGACCTTGACCTTCACTCATAAATGACATTGTTTTTGAAGGTCAAATTATTGAAATTTTCATTTTTTTGGCTATTATTGGCTGTAACTTGATTATTTTTGAATGGATTGTCTTCAAACTTGAACATAATTATCTTCAGGGATATCCCTTAAAAATAACTAGACAGACCTTGACCGTCACTCATAAATGACCTTGACTTTGAAGGTCAAATTATTGAAATTTTCATTTTTTTGGCTATTATTGGCTGTAACTTTGTAATTTTTAAATGGATTGTCTTGAAACTTGAATATAATAATCTTCAAAGATAACTGTTAAAAATATACCGAAAGACCTTGACCTTCACTCATTAATGACATTGTCTTTGAAGGTCAAATTATTGAAATTTTCATTGTTTTGGCGGTAACTGACTGTAACTTTGCTATTATTGAAGGGATCAACTTCATATCATAACAGAACATTCTTAAGGACCAGACCTCGTTGTTTATCAAACCCAAATTTGCTTGGGCTCTTTAATGACCTTGACCTTGAAGGTTAAATTACTGAATTTTCTCAGATTTGTGCATTAAATGACCATAATTATATATTTATTGGTGTGTGTGTGTGTATATATATATTTACAACAACAACAACAACAAGAATTGCGTCATTGTTTCTATTTATAGAATTGCGTCATTGTTGCTATTTTTAGAAATTGCGTCATTGTTTCTATTTTTAGAAATTGTGTCATAGTTTCTATTTTTAGAAATTGCGTCATTGTTGCTAATTTTAGAAATTGCGTCATTGTTGCTATTTTTAGAAATTTCGCATTGTTTCTATTTTTAGAAATTGCGTCATTGTTGCTATTTATAGAAATTGCGTCATTGTTTCTATTTTCAGAAATTGCGTCATTGTTGCTATTTATAGAAATTGCGTCATTGTTGCTATTTATAGAAATTGCGTCATTGTTGCTATTTTTAGAAATTGCGTCATTGTTGCTATTTATAGAAATTGCGTCATTGTTGCTATTTTTAGAAATTGCGTCTTAGTTTCTATTTTTAGAAATTGCGTCATTGTTGCTATTTACAGAAATTGTGTCATTGTTGCTATTTTTA